GGGACGCCCGTGGGTCGGTAAGAAGAGAGTCAAAACCCACAGCGGAGACCGGACACAAGGGTAAATTCGTTACCGTTGTACCATTACCGCGTGACGAACCCTCACTGGCTGAAAGTAGGGGGGTCAATGTGTGCCCTGCCCTGAAAGCGCTGCCCTGAGATCGGAGGCTTGGCTGCAAGCACCCCGTTGGCATTCAGTGCCCGAGGCTTCAGAGAAGGCCCAGTGCAATTAGCCTGAGCCTCGGCCTGACCCAAATTAGTGGGAGAGCCGCAGCTGGGAATGGGGGTTCCCCGGAAGAGACATGTTTGAATGTAAACAAGCTTTCGTGTTTCTTCCTGCTTGCCCACCGGGGGTGCAGTGGAGACAGCTCGCTCTGACTGTGTCTGATCTACCTGGCCTGACAGGGACGCAATTTGCCTGACAGTCCTTCGACCAAAGCCCTCAACTCGGAGACAAACCCGGCACCGTGTGAGAAAGGATCCACAAAGCTCCGCAAAGCACGCTTGTGTACCACGGCATGGCGTTGGTCGTTGAGTGGTGTTTATTTTGCTAACTACTTCAATGTTCCGATGAGTTGAACGGGAAAGCCAAAACAATTGCTAGTTTCCGATTGCTTTGGTTCCGGTGAGTGTGTATCTAGTGGAATTCAAACCCATGGTGTTTGTATTGTGCGTTTTTTCATTTCCCATGTAATATGCAATCACTTCCCCATTTTACTGTGATTTTTTGAGTGTTTAATGATGTCTTCCTCACCCGTCACACGATGACCCAGTTTCAACCACAAGGCCATTTTGCAACGAAATGCATGACCCTTGGTGTGACCCCACTGACTATAAGATCGTTCTGTTCAACTGTTAAGCTAGGATTTATTACCATTATTATCATTATATTGGCACGTGATTTGTTCCACCTTATGTGTAATGTCTCAAGTATCTTTATTGTAATTTGTATATACCAATTCGTATATACCAAGGAAACCACCTGATTGAATGTCATGTATTTTGTGACGTCACCAATTCGTGTGTAGGTACACGTATGGCTTCTAGAACTGTGCCAAAAAAACTAATAAAGAGTTTAAAAATAACAATAATGAATACAAATTCATTTTTGTGATGAGTAACAAACACATGTCCATTCCTCTTTCGCAACTTCTAAAAAATGCATTTGAAATGAGACAACAATGCCTCCTGAATAACTAAATATTAATTTTTTTTCTCATTGACAACTGTACAATGCACTCATTGCTATTGCTATGTACTTATTTGAGATTTTATTATTACCACAAGGACACTTCGCGATGGGCTTCTTTCACAGTCAGTTATATTTACAAAAATTTGTGTTCACTATTTTATAAACTGGTTTGGCACTTCGCATCACCAATTAGACTTTTAGATTTAGACTTTAGATTTGTTCAACAAATCCAAAATCACTCTCGATAATTGTGTTTACCTCACATTTTAACTATGATTACATTTGAAGTTTTGATAATTTTAATGGGTATACATATTTTAATGCATACATGTATGCACAAAAATACCCCCAAAATAAGAGAATTTAGTATATACATGTATAGCCTTGACAAAAAAGCATTATTTTTCCTTGTCTAATAATGCATTTTTTTCTATCTGTGTAACTTTATATGGAAATCCTAATGAGATTTGCAATATTGGAGCTTGTCAACTTCAAGTTGTCCATGGAGGCTGCAAGATTATTTTTATAAATACATGTATTGTATTCACTACATTTATTTTGTATTTTATTACATTGACCATGAAGTCCACAGTACATTTTTCTTACTGACATGACTGTGTGGTGTACTCGGCAGTTTTTGTTTTGTTTTGTCGATTGTTCATATGAAAATTTGTGCTTACAACTGGTTTTCAATCCGTGTCGAAAACGTGCACAGAATGGTAGTTTTGTGCACGTTTTCGACACGGCTTATCAGCCACCTCAAGTGCCAAATCCATGACAACATGGTTTATTGAAACACTTAAAATTCCTCAGAAGGAATTAAAATGGTTACACTAACTGCTAAAACACATATATAAAACATACAAATTTTACAAGAATTACTGTCTAAAGCACAACAATGGTTTAAAAAAAAATCAATAGACTACAATTACAAAAAACTATTAATAAATGTTGGTAATAATATTGGGAAAAAAATAGATGAAATAATAATAATAAAAAAAGCAATAAACAGTAAATCAATGAAAGATGGAAATGAGAAAAAAAAAAACCTATTAAAGGAGAAAAGTATTTATGTTAATTTGCCAGAAGATGTTGCTGTCTAAGGTTCGTGTTATTTTTGATAAATTGAGCAACTGGTATTTGTACATTCAGATTTGTATCACCCATTAATTTTAAAAATTTGTTGTAGTCACTCATATTCGTGAAATTTATAATGTGCTTAGTAATCTCTTCAATAATGCTTTTCGCGATTTTT